TCGGGTAAGCACACTTGTTCAGGTTATCACAATACTAGTAATTGCTCGCTTCCTTTAAGGTTACCAATTCCATGGCTGCTATATTTCCTTGTTGCACTATTTCGATGGACCAGCGGCTCATTCCCTACTGGTATGTTAGAAGCCTAATAAAGGAGACGGTCACTATTATAACTGGGATGCTATATTGTGAAAATCTGCACATTTTTAGTAGCAGTGATCTCTAATGGACTAATCTGCAGTGTGGGGATGTTGTTCTTGATGTTGGTCTTCCTGGTATTCGCCATTGCCGTGTCTCGGTGGCGAATGGATAAAATATTCGGTACGTTACGCAACAAATTCAAAGTTGAGTACAACAACGCTAACACTAAGAGCGGGAGCAAGAAACTCAGCATTATTTGCTCAACTGAAATTTTCCTATGTCAATTACGAAATTAAAATAGAAGAAACACCTACGGGGAACAACACCAAAGAAGAAGATGTCTGAAAGTCGCTTTATGTATTAGGCTGTTAACTAAGTTTTGCATCTGAGGTAACTTTTCGCTTTGATGATGGCGCGCTCAAATTTTGATATTATATATACTGCCGTGTGCACTACCAACTGCCAGAAACGCTCGCATTTTGATAGCAAAATTTAAAAATTCAAAGTGTTTTCGAGAACTAGTGAAATTCGGGAATTCATGGAGTTATAGGTAAGAATGAAGCCGTCCTCAATCTAGATCATGCACAGATTCGGAAGTGTGCATTAAATGTAAATGTGGAGGGGGTCAGAATCCTCCAAAGGCTTGTCACTCTTTTCCAATCGCGCCCTTCGGAGGCAATTACTGCTTCGCGCTTATCTCGCTCCTATCTCGCACATTCCTGCATTTCCATTCCGGACAAATCGCCTTGTGTCTCTCGGGATAATTGAAGGGAAAGCAGACAAACGACGAGTAAATCTTACTAAAAAATAATGGAAATGCTGTGAAAAAAGTGCTTTCGATTGTGGTTATTGATGATGTGGTAGGCGAGAGTGGGGTAAAAGCTGATCATGTTTCTCTCGAGTGCAAGAGGTTAAGTTACAGAACTTTTTGAAGATGAAGATGAAGATGCTTCCAGAAAGACAGTTTGGAGTCATTTTCTAAGGTGAAATAATAAAACACTTAGGTTTTGATGCCCCTCAATCTCACCTACCACTTCTTCAATGCCAACATCATGAGCACTTTTTTGTCAATTTGCTCATTTTAATGTTTTTCACAGCAATTTCATTCTTTTTGGGAATCATTTGATCGTCGCTTATGTGCTGATTTTTCCAATTAATGCTAAGGGAGATAAGGCAACTGTCCAGAGGTAAACCAATACAGTGTGCGAGAAGGTGCTACCTAGGTGCGAGGTAAGCGCGAAGTGAATATCATTTCCTAAAGACGCGCTAGAGAAAAAGCGGCGAGCCTTTGGAGGATCCTGACACTCCGTCATCAAGTATTGTTAGGGGAACTCATTGGGCTTAGCAAAGAAGAAATCGAATTCTAAGGACCTCGAGGTTTGGCGCCCCCACAAAGTTGAATGAGCCGCTTCACGCAAAGCTGCTTGGAGTAAGCGCCGATTTTTAAGGAGTCGAAATTTCAGAAATTAAAACTTTAAATATTGGGATTATTTGACCTGTCGAACGTGAATATTATATTCATTTGTCAAATTAACGCATCTTTTCTTATTTAGTGTGAGACCTCATATCGTAAACCAACTGTAGTCTCTTAGAAAACCCTAACTTTCAATAACGTTCATTCAATATCATTTTCGTAATCAGCACGTCAGATAATCCCCCTATGCAACAGCCAAATTTAATGATCTAATTCTTTCGCTTATACCACATACCTACCTTAACCCTCACTGCGAGATCAGAATTTGGCAGAACTGGCTCAAGGGCGTGACTTGTATAGAGTTGTAGATAATGTCAAGATCAAACATTCTTGTGTCTTTTAGATGTGAAGCGTGTTTGCTTGGTGTCTAGCTAACGATCCACATAACTTTTCGTATAGATACTGGCTTTACTAGCTTCGCAAGAGCTTGGCTAACAAGTCTGGTACTAAAAGGTCAAATGCACCTTAAGTCTGCGTGATTAAGGTTTCACTTACTCGCTATAGCATTAGTTTTCAAGTACTTCAGTGTACAGCTTGGGATAAGACATTGTTATCTATTTGGTTGACGTCTCGTACTCCACGTCTTTCGTTATATAGCATCACAAGGTCACAAATTCGTGATCTTACAAAATCATGATGAGTCAAACCCCATAGATGGGTGGGAAATATCTCAGTTATAAGTTTTGTCGAAGAGTCCCTCATGGGAATAGCACATCATGGAAAACACAAAATCAACGAAAACGTTTTATTCTGACGCTTTTCTTTTGAAGACTGTGTGGTCGCAATCCCAAAACAGAAATGCAGAGCGTTGTGAGACTTTTGAAACAACGGCGCACCGTGCGCACGCTTTCGTAAAGAGGCAACTCGT